GCCTCTAGTTGTTGTATTAGTCTTGTTATAGAACTATGATACTTCTCACGGTTTGCTATATTTCTTTTTGATATTGTCAAAAAAGGGGGAGTGTGTGAGGAAAACTTTGTCATCAAAGATTTTGAATGATGTAAAAACTAGGAAAAGCTAGAACTTTTGTACATTGGATGGTATCCTTATGCCTTGTGGCACTCCTCTGCATTAAAGGTCTTACGAATCATTAAAAAGCATTTTGAAATTGATCCAAGTCATTAAAAACAACTTTCTGCATAATTTTTTATTGCATGTGTCGACACATTCGCTCTTCAGGTCGATACATCCAACTCATTTTTGAAGCTTATAGCCTCTGGAAGACTCAAGTCGACACATAAATTATATAGGTCAACACATACTAAAGCATTTCTAAAATTGGATAAATTCCTATTTCATGTGTCGACACATCGGTTTTTCAGGTCGACACATTTACTATCATTTTAAAGCTTGTAGCCTCTAACTTGGTTCGATCGACACACAGTCTTATACAGGTCGCACATACAGTTTAAAAATCAAGTATGTGTCGACATATCCTGTTTGTTTGGTCAATTTTTCCAAATCTTTTTAATTTCGAATTTGTCCTTTTTGCCCTAAAACTTCCAAAATTATAAATACTCTTTCATGCATCATTCATAACTTGGTGAAACCATAAAATTAGCCTACTTCTCTCTTCACCTTCAACCTCTAACCTATGCATACACACTGACGTTATATTGTAACGATGTTCCGTTGGGGTACCATCTAGACGGGGATTGATAGTGTCCAATTGTGTATTGGGTTGAGCTTTGTAGGAATTCTCATCCAGGAAAACCCGTGGTTTTTCCTCCAATATCATAGGTTGATTTAGGAGTTTTTGTGCAATATGTTCAAGAGGTAATTGCGGCCAAGTGAAGTCATTTGGAGATAAAGAACGCAAGGGATCCTTTGGAAATAAAGAACGCAAAGGAAGTAGTGAGAGAACGGCGAATTACAATTGAGGTATTGTGTTGCAATAGTTGAAATTGACGGTACGCAAAAGCTTTGGACATAAAGAACGCAAAAGCGTAGCAAGATCCAGATAGTCAATTTGCATCTATTGTATCTTGGTATTTCTCAAGATCAAAAGAGGGGAAGGGGTTTAATCAACAACAAGCTTAGGGTTTATGGAGTTGCTCTTAAACACTTCTCTTGTATCAACAATTTTACATAGTAAGAATTATCCTAATTCCATTGGAATTAGCCGCAGGCGTACCCACACACAAGGATGACAGTGGGGAACTGTGAAGACAAATTCCTTGTGTCTCTTTACTTTTTGCTTTTACTTGCTTTGATATTCATAGATCAATTTGTCAAACAGCATTGTGGTATCAACTGAATTGTAAGAATTTTCTGAATTATTTTTTATTGTAAATCAAGTGTTTATCTAGCTTTAATCACTTTGATTATAAGTAGTTTTGTATATCAACACAACTAAAGGAAAATTTTTGAAAATTCACTTGCACACCAAGTGTTTGATAATTTAATTCAACTAGTTCATTTTAACATGGACATTGGAAATAACTTTACTAGTAACTTGCGATTAACGTTAAATAATATGTTAAGTGATTAAAGTATACTAATTAAATTTGTTGTTCTTGTTCCAAATTGAATTTGTTGTTATAGTTTGCAGATTCGAGTTTCCAATAACGTTCGTATAGGCGACATTTTGAAAAAACTTTTGCGTTGCTCTTTGATAAAACAACTTTTTCAAAATCATATTTTTATATAAGTTTTTTAAAGGAATATCTATTCACCCCACTCTAGATATTTTACCATCGCCTAACAAAGGTGTTGATGTTGATGACACATATATAGGTGATAACTTTAAGTTGCATGCAATGCTGATTTGCACAATCAATGACTTTCCCGCATACAGTAATTTGTCTGGGTACAGCGTCAAAGGTCATAAAGCGTGTCCTATATGTGAAGTTGATACATGTCACCACCAATTACAAAAAGGAAAAGATATAGTTTATCTTGGGCATCAAAGATTTCTAAGACCTAATCATTTGCATCGTAGATTGCGTAAGGCTTTTAATGGATAAAAGATACTAAGAAATCATGCGAAGATATGGTTGTGATGGGTATACGATAAGAATTATCCCCAAAAGAAGTTGTAAATACAACCTATTTTCTCCCATCATGTCACACTCTTTCTAAAAAAGAAAAAAAATAATTGTGATTGTTTACAGGGTACCGAAGTTCCACAATGGTACTCATCAAATGTGAATAAACTTGTGTCAGAGAATGATCACAAATTAATTGGCTTAAAATATCATGATTGTCATGTCTTAATGCAACAACTTCAACCAGTGGCTATCAGTGGCATCTTACCAAGAAATGTAAGGGTGACTATAACCAAATTGTGCTTATTCTTCAATGTTATATGTAGTAAATTTATAGATCCTAGAGGTTTAGATGAATTGGAACATGGAGCTGCAATTATCTTGTGCCAATTAGAGATGTTTTTCCTTTTATCATTATTTGACATTATGGTTCACTTAGTTGTTCATCTAGTAAGGGAGATTAGAATTATGGTCTAGTTTATTTGCGGTGCATGTATCCGGTTGACCATTACATGAAGACTTTTAAAGGTTATACAAAGAATCATCACCGTCCAAAAGCTTCGATCGTAGAAAGGTGCATCGCAGAAGAAGCTATTGAGTTTTATACAAACTATTTGTGAGATACGAACGGTATAGGAGTTCCCGAGTCTCGTCATGACGAATTTTATGATGGTAGAGGTATTCAAGGTTTAAATGTTAAGACATTTAGTCGACAAGTAGTTCTTCAAGCACATTTATATATATTGAATAGCCTTAGTGAAGTTGATCCTTACTTTACCGCACACAAATCTCTTATAAAGGAAAAATACCCCCAGATGAATGAAAAATGGTTGTTTACATAACATAACAAAACTTTCATAGATTGGTTTGATGAAAGTATTTCTAAAGAGAGTGGTGCATCAGATGATTGCAAATGGTTGTCATGTTTGCCTAAGTTTAATGTAATTACTTGGAGTGCATACAACATTAGTAAATATTTGTTCTACACAAAATTAAAGGATGATCATAGCACCATGAAAAATAGTGGTATTATGGTTGAGGCTGAATCCATGTACTTTTCTAGTTCCAAAGATAACAGTCCAGTACTAGCATCTAGAGTGCACTTTAAGATCATTGAGGAGATTTTGGAGATTGACTATGTTTCTTTTAAAGTGCCTTTATTTAAAGTGCAGGTGGATTGACAGTAAAACTAGAGTAGAAATCGATGAATTAGGATTCACAAGGGTAGATCTTCGAAAGGCAACTTACAAGAACGAACCCTTCATCATGGCAAATCAAGCAAAAACAAGTTTTTTATGTCAATGATTCATCTAACACTAGATTGTAAATTGTTCTTCAAGGAAAACATCTTCCCAATAGTACTGATGAAAATCAAGATTTTAACTAAGAGACTCCTTGTTTAGCAACACATGTATGTCAATCATTTGTCAATCATCTAGAGAAAATGATTTAGATGATGTGCATGTTATTCGTCGTGATCATGAAGAGGGCATATGAGAAAACTAGTAAGTAAATGGTTTATTGTTTTTGTTTCTTGATCATTTGTTTTAGTTTAGATGTAAAATTATAAAGTATGTACCATTTTGGATTTGCATTTTGGTGTAATTAATGAACATTTGTGTTTCAGATTGAGAAATTGGCAAAATGTACAATGTCTATGTTTCAGGAATCTGTAAAATGTGGTTCTGTATTATGTAATATGATTCTGTAATTCACGAGCAGACGACAGTAGAAAAAAAACTAAATCTTTACCCCTCAATTTCCAAATAAACCGAGGTAAGAATATTGATATGTTACCTCGGTTCTACAACACTGAGTACTAATATAGGGCACGTCATTCAGTTCTAAAAATAATAAAAATGTTGATGTTGAGAATCAAACTCATGTGCAGTTAACTTAACCCCTCGGCATTTTAATATCCGAGTTGATAAAAAGTAACCTTTTAAGACAACTTTTTTTTACCTCATTTGTTACCGACTTCAAATGCATTTCGTGTTCGATGTTACAATCGTTATTTGTAGTAGTGTTGATAAGATAAAAGATTTTGATAGTTAAGTGATTTCACATAAAAAAAAATTATTTTAATAAAAAAAAGTTTAAATTTGATTATTTTTAAAAGATTGGTTAATTAATACTATTTCTTAATTTGTAGTTCAATCCCATTAATTGATTTGAGGTTTTTGTGCCTAATGTATTAATATATTATTTAATATTTTATCTCGTATGTTAATTTTTCAGTTTATTTTTATTTTTTAATTTTAAAAAAAAATTATATTAATCTGTTAACTCTTTAAAATATATTGTATTAGTTTTTTTCGTTTAATTAGTAACGAAAAAAATTCAAAAATCAGTTCAAAAATCAGTTGTTAAGTAGTTGAAAAAAATTAAGATACATTGTACGATTTGAATAATTAAAGGACTAATATGCATTTTTTTTTAAGTCAATGGAGTAAAATGAGTCTCAAAATTAATATACGAAGAAAAAAAATATTTCATACACCCATTAGAAAAACCAACCATATGTGTTAGTCAAAATTAGAGTTATAAAAGTTGAGAAAGCTGATATAAAAGTATATCCAACTACGATCATTTGTGAAAAAACATGAATATCCATGCATTTGGGCAAAGCAAAGAACAATTACTTTCTTGAGCAAATTTAAAAAGTTATACTTTACTTAAAATTTTAACTCATCAAGGGAAATGGAATATTACCAAGCCAAATTGTACAAAATAAAACCAAAATATAAATAAAGAATAATCTCCATCACAAGGAAACGTTTGAGTTTAACCATAATATCTAGATTTCATCACATATAAAATACACACAACAATGAAACACCTAATAACTCAACTAGTTTCCTCAATCAAAGCATTTTCATAATAATGGCTTTCAACTCACAACGTACATTTAGAGCCCCAACTTTCCGGTCACAACTTTCAATTCGTCGTGTGTATGAAACTTTGGAGCCAAGATCAGAACCGAAAGAAACTGCTGAAGCTCACTTTCTTCATGTTTACCTTCCTGGTAAGATTTTTTTGAATTTGAAACAATAATATAGTAGTGTGTTGAAAATAATATTCCTCACATAGACAAGTACATGACACTGATATCGAAACTAATAAAACATTGATAATCACATGTGTTAGTGTTGAAACTAATCATGTTTTCCATAAAAAATGTTAGCTCCATGTTAAATCACAAGCCTTCGCTTCACTAAGGGTCGGTCTCTTAGTGAAAGTTTGAAATGTGAGAGTGTAATTCTTTTAAGATCTCAAGTTCAAATATCGCGAGATATAAATTATTTATGTGTTGAACATATATAATTTTTCTCTAACTTTAAATATGTTCTCGTTAGTGGACGGTGGAATTATCATTTTGAATTCGTTAGTCTCATTATTAGATACCAAGTTTTAAAAAAACAGCTCTTTTTTTTTTTATTTACTTGCAAATTTTGATAAAAGTGCATGGTATATAATAATACCACTTCTATGAAACCAAAATTATCTTGTATTTTGCTTTTGTAGGTTATACAAAGGATCAAATGAAGATTACATTGCAGGACGCATCACAAGTGCTGAGAATTTCAGGTGAACGGCCAATTCCAGGCAACAGATGGAGAAAATTTGACCAAACATTTCCTGTTCCAGAAAACAGTGATGTAGGGACACTTGAAGCCAAGTTTGAACAAGGAACTCTCATTCTTAAAATGCTAAAGAAACCCATTCCACAATCACAAGTTGTTGCTCCTAAACAAGAAGTGGAAAAAAGTCAACAACATCCTTCAAGTAATAAAGATTTGGATGAAACAAAGCTTGGAAAAGTCCAAGAGACAATTCCACCAACACAATCTACTAAGTTGGAAGAACCAACTCAAGACATGAAAAGTGATTCACCTCAAACTCAAAGCATTGAGAAAAAGAAAAATGAGGCTTTTCATGATGACACGTTGTCTCAAACTGCTAGAGAAACAATAAGCAATAATGAGGCTCAAAAGAGTCAACAAGAGTTTGAGGAAAAACCAACTTTCAAGGACACAACAAAAACACAAATTGATGAAAAGGCTCAAGAGGGTCAACAAGAGTTTGAGAAAAAACCAACATTTGTTGAGAGAACCAAAACACAAATAGATGAAAAGGCTCAAAAGGGTCCAGAAGAATTTGAGGAAAAACCAACATTCATAAAGAGAACCAAAACACAAGTAGATGAAAAAGCTCCAAAGGGTCAAGATGAGTTTGAGAAAAAACCAACATTCATTGAGACAACCAATACACAAATAGATGAAAAGGCTCAAAAAGTTCAACAAGAATTTGAGCCAAAACCAACATTCAAAGACATAGCCAAAACACAATTCGATGAAAAGACTCAACAAGATCAAGAGGAATTTGATAAAAAAACAACAATCATTGAGAGAACCAAAACAGAAATAGAAGAAAATCTTCAAAAAGTTCAAAAGGAATTTGAGCCAAAACCAACAGAAAAAGTGGTCACCAAAGAAAACTTAGAGGAAAAAATAGTTAGAAAGAGTGATGAATATGGTAAGGAGGAAAGGATCTCAAAGAAAGAGGAAATTGAAGAGAAAAATGAGAAGCCTTATGAGTCAAGTAAGACTATGAAAGATGTGAAACAAAATGAAATTGAAAAAGAAGAACACTCTGGTTCAAAAGTTACAGAAAATGAAAAGGAATCTAGCAGCAGAATTTCTCCCAATCAGGAAGAGATGAATGGAATAAGAAAATTAACTGCTGCTTCTACTCAGTTTGTAACAAGAATGGCAGAAGGGAAATGGAGTGGTGATGAGAGACATTTGGTTGAAAATGTAGGTGCTGCAATTTTAGTGATTGCTGCATTTGGAGCCTATATATCATATAGGTTTTCCTCTTGAGGGAGAACTAAAACTAACTACAGTTCTACTTGCTCATGGAGAAATAATGCTTGATGCTTGAATAAATTCTCCTCTCAACTTGTAAAAACCTACACTCATATTCCTTCAAAAATAAATATGTATTAAAAATTTTATTCTATTATAAATATAATAAATATTTTATTATTTTTCTCTATCTTTTTTATCCTAATACCATTAGCATATAATTTCTAACTTATTATCATGTAAAAAAAAATTTTTTGATATCATCTTTTATCTCGTATCTTATACTTAAAATTTATTTTGGTTCCTTATTTAAAAAAAAACTACTTTAATCTTTTAATTTTTAAAATATATTACATTAGTCATTTCCAATCAAATAATGGTAACAATGTCAATTCTTACTCTCGGTGATGTGTAACATTTAACTTTTGTGATTGATTTAACGATGGAAAATTAATCATTAAAAAAGATTTTGAGTTTTTCATCATCTTCTTCATTTTTTTGGGTTTTTGTTTTTCTTCATCTTCATAGATTGTTGAGTGAAACACATGGCACCAATTTTAAACACGTGCCAAAGACTATTACCAAAATCTAAAATGTATTGTGTTTTTAGGATAATTAGTAATAAATTCGTGGCGTCTGTGTTGGTCTTATATGTATATTTGTTTACATAGTTGTTTACCGTTGTTTTTGGTAAACAACCGCTGGTCTCTAAAAAAGGTAAGTTTTTTTTTGGTTTATTTGCGGGATCGACCAAACTAATCCCAGAGCATATGCTAATCTTTATGTAAAATGAGTGAGAAGGAAGAACGCACGTTCGACCCAGGGGAGAGATGTTTAAGATTGTTGAACAGGAAAAGAAAGCATAAAAATGCAAGTAAAAGAAGTAAAAGAAGTAAAAGGTAACTTTGCAAGACAATGGTAAAGTAAAGTAAAAAGACTTTTATTAAGTAAAAAAGGTGTTTCTAACGTACATTGCTCTGCTTTTTATCCTTTCTCACACAGTAGTTACTTGGATAATATTTGAGAGATTTAGTATTATAAGTTCCACACTAAAAAATTACACAACTTCTTAATTTATACTAAAAATAGGTAACCGTCGATGGGACATTCTGCGCTAGGATGAAGACAAGTGTCTCCTGCATGCCTCTCGACCCATAGCCTTTTGCCACGTTTCCTTCCCTTAGATGCTGATGAAAACCACCTTTCCCTTCAATAATTCAAATTTCAAAATAGTCTTCGTCCCATGTGCCAAGGCGCGAACACTTCCCTTCAGTCGAACAACCTACATCTGCCCCGGTCGAATGAACCTTTGGTCGAAGCTTCTTATTATATCTTGGATCTTTTTCCTTAAATTATCTCATGCGTCGAATTACACCTCCTGGTGTAGTTCATTTCCAGTTGTTTGGTCAAAGAGACCAAATATAGCAAGTGCCAAATTTGGGAGCCAACAAATTGCCCCCCAAGAATGTCTATTTCGACGCCCAAAGAAATAGTCATTCTTTGAACTTCCCATTCGACACCTGTCTTACCAGTTGTCCACCAGGCTTTGACGTGTACTTTCCGCCTCCCAACAGCTGTTATATTTGATAAAACCATCATTACTTTTTACCAAAATGTCTCTTCAAAACTATCATTACCACGCTCGCCATGATGGCCTCGTTCCTATAATCTAGGCAAGCATGTCCCAACGTTTCCCAACGCTTGCACGACAATCGTTTCCTGCCTTGCCACGTGCCCCACTACCTGCGAAACATTAAATGCTTTTGATGAGACATTTCCCACTTCTGAAGGCTATAAATACTTCCAAACTTCTCTATTTAGAACTTTTATCATCCTCAGCTTTTCCAAACCCCTTGCATTCTCACAACACTGTACTGTCACCTTCGCTCTTTCTCTTAAGTCTTTAACAATGGCCTTTCTCTCTAATACCCCAAACAATCCGCAACCAAAGAATGCCAATGATGTTCAGAAACCACCAGAGATTTTTTCTACCAACCCTCCTTCTTCCTCGACTAACAGGTACATTGTTGAACCTATGGGAGAATGGCGAGAAGCCTATGATTCTCAACTCCTTATTCCCGTCAGATATGTCGGAAAGATATATGCTATGTCCGGCCCATTATCTTCATGTGTCGAAAATCCCTTAAAAAATGTGCCTTTTTCCCTACACACCCAAGGCTTAAACCCATAGGTTGTGCCAAAAAACCTAGGGCAGATGCTGAAGATGCTACACCGGTTAACCAGCAACATCCTCAAACTACTGATGATATCAACCTCCAGTTCATGAATAAAGGGAATCAAATCTTTCGATCAAGCCCTAACCTTTCTTCTGAATACTTCGACTGGTTGAATAAAATGGAGAGGGTGCAAGCTTCTGTCTGGAAGGAGATGGGCATCTATAACTTAGTGATGTTGTCGAAGACAGGGTTACCTTATTGTCCCCTTATGCTGGTATCCTCATTGTACTTTTGGGACAGTGCGCATTTCACCTTTCATCTTCCTTGTGGGATGATGACCCCTACCTTGTTCGACATAGCTGTCATTACTGGTCTTCGACCAACTGGTGACTATTTCGACCCTGAAGACTTGTTTGAGGATCCCATTGGGTTCGCTGCTACCAAACCCACTTATACCACCTTCATAAACCACTTTCATGACAAGGCTTCAAATACCGTGTCGGAGGTGGAGCACATAGCCTTCTTGGCCATGTGGCTGTCTCGATTCATTTTCTGCACCAAATCACTGCAGGTGACGAAAAAGATGTTGACGCTTGCAACACAGCTCCATCACAAATACCCTCTTTGCTTGGCCGAATTGATTCTGGCCAACTTATATGAGTCAATCAGTAATGGTGTGACTCAACTTAAGGTTCTAGGAGACAGAGGAAGTTTGCTGCTATTTGGTCCCTTCTGGCTTCTGCAACTGTGGCTTAACGCCACCTTCGAATCCTTCCTCCCTCAAAAGAACAAGATCAATGAATAAGCTCCTGAAATTTTAAACAGGAGAGTCGAAGGCACCAGGTTGGCATTGCTAACTCCTACTGGTGAAGGCCAACAGTTTCAAAAAGCCTTTACAAGCTTCGTAATGATGTTTGCGGAGCGAAAAAGCTTTGATTCGACTATGGCTCCTTTTTCCAGTTGAAAAGTTGGCCTGGAATGGTTTACTAGACCATATCCTTCAGAAGAAGATGATGTGGTTGATGAGTTTGAGAGCATGTGGGAAGCGTTTCTCTGCCCCAGGATCATGCCTTTAAGATTTAAGAGCTCGAAGAATCAATTGAGCTTAATTGCTTATCAACCCAATCTTGTCTCTCGACAGTTTGGCATTGCTCAATCGCTTCCTTCGCCTATATACCCTCGAGAGAAACTGCTACTCTTTTATAATGCAGATTACTCAGAGGATGCCGCTACCAAGCATATTGGTAGGTATTCTGGTCGAACTACACTGACCCTGTTCGACTTTAACCTTCATTTTCTGAACTCTACCACTTCTGAGACGTGGTGGAGACATTATTATGAGGAAGAGTTCTTCGACGAGAAGGACTTCACCCACCATCTGCATGAGGCATTCAAGCTGGTTCTTGACAGAGTCAAAAAAGGTATTCCTTTTTCCATCTCTTCGTTTTAGATTTGTTTTTCCAACTCCTAACTAACCATAGTTGTTTTGCCTTTCGTTTAGCTGTCAAGCGGGTTGCTTCGAAGAAAACCGCTGAGAGTACAAAAGGGGAAGACTCTGCTATCAATCCCTCTCCTAAGGTACTTACCTTTCCTTTTTTTACCCTTAGTTTTATCTGACGTAGTTATTGATCTTCTCGACTTGGTTTTCTATATGCTTAGAAATCAACCCCCAAAAAGAGAAAGGTTCAAGAGATCCAAATCTCTAGCGATGAGGAAGAGGAGTCTCCACCTGTTCCTTTGCAGAGACGAAGATTGAAAAAACCAACTCCTGCTGTCGAAACCCGTCCAAAAATCAGGATTAAAACTACGGCGGGGAGGCTACCTCCTGTCATCATCAATGAACCCATTGAACAGGAGGTAATCGCCAGATTAAACAATCCTAGTGAAAGTGACAATTCTAGTCCTGGTGCTGAAATCCCAGTACAGGTATCCACTTCAACTGCTTGTTATGTACTCCTCACTCTCTCTTACTTTGTGACACTTTAAAAAGCAATAAATTCTTTCTATTTTCCAGTACACTGCTGGCACTTCGACACGAAATCCTACTCATGTCGAGGACTCAACCACTTGCTTGAATAGCGACGGGATTCCTACCTACAGACCCTCTTCAGCAAAAGACTCCTTCGTGAGTTCAGCTGACAAAGTGAATCAGACTTCTGAACCCCAGCATGAAACCATAGAAGAAGCTAATGAAGAAGAAGCTGAAGGAAATCAAGAGGAGGTTAGGATTCCTATGGTCGAAGTTGAAACAGAGAGGGAACATGGGGAGATCCCAGAAGCTGAGGGTGAAGAAGGTCCTACTGAAGGAAACCAAAATCCTCCAGGTACTGAGGCAATTCCTACTCAAGTACCTAACATGGTTATTACAGCCAACACCAGCATCCCTTCGACGGGGTCCAGAACCAAAGAGGATTTGGCTTTACTGAAGCAACAAGATCCATTAGGTTATCTGACTGCAATCTTGGAGGGTCGTGAGAGCTCCTCTGATCGTAGCGCCTCGACTGCATCTGGCAGATCTACCTCGACTTTCCCTCTCGACGAAGCTCTTCAAAAGGTTAAAGCACAAATCTTTAAAAGAGATTTGATGTTAACTTTAGAGGGGGAACCAGCAGCGCCTTTCTATCTGAAGACTATCTTGAAAGCTGTCGATCTTCTTGTTGCCCCTCCATATGTAGCCAGTGTAATCCTGGATTTACTTTCTATTGTCTAGCAAGTATCAGCAGACTTCAATCTTCAAAGAATCATTAATCGTGATATTGAGGAAGCCAATGGCCAAGTGGCTGCTGCCACTGAATCCACTTCTAGAGTAAAGGACTTGTCGAAGGCCCGGGAGGCTAG